CCTTTTTACACCTCCCTTTCTTCATGTGTTCAATACTTTTTCTCTGTGCCATTCCACATTATTACAAACAACTTAATTTCTGGACATTTATGGTTTGATTTCTTTGTATGTATGGATCATATGGGTTGTTACCGACATCTGGTGAAAATTTCACGTCATTTGCACTTCTAGTAATATATTTACTGAGAAAAATGGTGACGTGTTCAATAATTATTTTACCCGCTGTATATATTACATGTGATTTTTAAATCCTTTCCTTTCTTGAGCGTCGGTTAAAAAAATGTTCCAAGATTTAACTTGAACTTTGTTTTGAGATTATTTCTATGTGCTAAATTCATAAAAGATGTTCTTGTACTGTTTTTCTAGACAACACAAGAAAAACCATGTTTGCACATGAACCTACTTTTGATTAAAAATAACTTGCTTTACAAAGCTCCTGTATCAAACATGTCAGCTAAACTACAATAACTTTGCATAACTTGGTGAAAATGTCAAAGTTTAAGCTTTAATCAAAGGTTTTATGACTGTTTCCTTATGTAAACCTTTTATGTAACAAATTAAATGCTCTCCAACATGTGTATTAATACTTTTAGTACTTTTATTTTTGACAAAGATCTTTTTAAAATCTTTCACAGACAGTACTATGCGTACCTGACAGACACTCAGTGTAAGCGAGTTGGCACACAGTGYTGGGTGTTTGGGTGAGTTTTTTTTTCTATTAGTCAGCTCATGGTTTTTATTTCTATAGAGACTATTTCTTCTGCAAGTTTGTATAGCTTGTAAATAACTCAATTCATTCCTCATTAGGAGCATTTATAAAGAATATTCTAATAATTTACTTTTTTTACTGTATTTATTAATCGCATTTTAATTTAAATTTGATCATATATCTGTGAGTCAACATTTTTTCAGACTGATTTTTTTATTTATTTTCTTGTTTYGTCTGATTTTAACAATCAGAACCTTCTTTAGATTAAGTTTTTGTAGTTTATTGAGGTTCAGTGCACAACAGTATGTTTTTTTTATAGTCAATTAAAATTCATGACATTATAGAATAGAATAGAAACAGCTTTTATTGTCCCGCGTGGGTAAATTCAGGTGTAGCAGCAGCAGATACATACATCAATCCACAGAAACAGTATATTGCTATGTCACTTTATCAACTGTAGCAATAATAATAGGATTAAAGATAGTAACAATAAAAATAAACATAGAATAAAATAAAAGTAAGAATAATAATTACTGTACCGGACTATCAAGATGAAATTTGATAAAAATGAAAATAAATACAAGATACTGTGCAGAAAAATACAAAATTACAAGAAAAATTATGCTTATTTAGACCTCAGACATAAAGCTGCAGATGCCCCCAGTCTGCACCAGTTTCTATATAGCAACAGTAAGAGCACTCACTCTCTGTATACCATACCTAACATCGAGACTGTTCTTATATTAGTCGTATCGTGAAGCTGATAATAAGATCCATGAGTTGGACCGGTTGGGACCGTAACATCCAACATGCTTACGGACTAAACAGTGAAGCTCTGCTGCAGTTGAAAGGCTTTGCCAAAAGAGGGAGCAGTGGTTTCACCCATCAGCTTCTGTTTCAAAGTTTGAAAATATATTTGTCTGATTGTGTTTTTTATGTTTTCTTTGAAGAGCTATTGCGTTCCTGGAGGCTCTTGCTTGTGTGAAATTTGGTCTGGACGTCTTTTCTAAGACCCAAGTTCACTATGTTGTCCTGTGGTTGATCTGCCTGGTAAGCAAGAACGTGTGTGAGTTTGTGTGTGTAGTTGTTTTTACTACWGAGTGAGGACCATTTGTAAAATAGTTAATATTAAAGTGAGGTCTTTAATGTAAAGTGAGGGCCTCTTTAATGTCCTCACTTTGTTTGCAGCTCTACTGCACTTTACTAGTTAGGTTTAGAGGTATGGTGTGAATTAGGTTTTGGTTAGGAATAGACTAGTAATGGTTAGTTTTAGGGAAAATGTCTGGGTTAGGCATAAATACTGTTCCTGGGGAGCAAACAAAACTGGAGTCTAACTTGGAACAATGGGCCTCATGCAAGAACCGTTCGTACGAACAGATTTGTTCTTAAGTTGTGTGTATTAGTGATTTAGGAGAATTTGTGGCATTCACCAATTTTTTCGTATTCTAAGATTTTTTTTTTTTCAGATACGAACAAAATTCATGTGTGGTCCAGACTTGTCGTATATTTTACGAGCAGTCAGTCTGCTGTTATCCAGAC